CAGCGCGGGCCCGCGGCATTAGAGTCCGCCGGCCTCGGACCCGCGTCCCGCACGGGGACTGTCCCGGTAAGCGAGGGCGGGGGCGGTGGGACCCGGCCGTCACCCTGAGGGGCGGGTCTGCGGTCCCGGACAGTCCTCCCCGGACTTGGATGCTGGTGTGGGAGCCGCCCCCAGGGGGCCCCTGTGCAAATGGATGCACCCCAGTGACAGCCGCCTGTACCCCTAAGGGAGTCCGTGGGGCGGAAGGGAGACGCCCAGGGCGCTCTGCACTTTCTGCCTTGCACAGCCCCAGTCTGGAGAGCATCCTCCCCAGGCCCCCAGAGAGGCCTTCTGTGTAAGAGTGGCAGCATCAAGGTAGTCTCTGGACTTGGCTCCATGTGAGACCATCTGGACCCCAGGGACCTTCCCGGTGGTGTTGGTGAACCCCGGGTGATCTCAGCCTGTGCCCCAGAGATGCCCAGAAGGAACCCTTGCCTGGAAAAATTGGATCCGTTTGTAGCATCATAGCTCCAAGGACTTTGGCATTGACCTCCTATGGGGCTCAGCATGCCCTCACTTGTACCCCTCAACATAGTGGAAAGGAGTGGGGACTCTGTGGAACTGTGGCCTTTGTTCATTCCAATTCCCACCCTGCCCCCATTAGAATTTCTCTTCCGTATGATAGCCCAGTTGGCTTCAAGCTGGACTTTAGGGGAGACAGAAACTGCTTCTAAGAGCACAGGGCCCAAGGGTTACCAGGACCAGTGAGGCCTCCAAATCAGAAATAGGAGATCTGAGCTCTTGAGTTTGACTATGCTGAGCAGTAAGACCAAGTTTCTGGAGGAAGGAATAAGGAAGAGGAGAGGGTTTTTGAACGCCCCTGTGCCAGGCACTGTGCTACATGTTTAAACATCTTACGTAATAACAACAGCTTCATAAACTTGCCCCATTTAAACATTAGGTATTTGTGACGCAGAGATCACAAACGTTTGGAGGATGGCGTCTGTTCTTCAAATTTAACTCAGAGAAAAGTATCCAAGAGGGGCAGAAGAAAGAGTGGATGTTGGTAATAAGTTGTGGTGTAGTGTCAAGCATGGAGCTTTGCGGTAGCAGATGCTCAGCAAATGTGATGCTTAAACAGATGAGGTCGGTTTAACTGAACATGGAACCATGGGGGCGGCTATCCACTTCATCCCCAGGCTGTCAGGACTTGCTTGAGAGAACTAGAGGGGCTCCCAACGGAGTCTCCTGGGGCCACTTTCCCTGCTGCAGGATCTTGGGAACAAAGACGGGGAGACATTGTCACCTCTGAGTCACCCACGCTTCCCTTGTGGCCCTCTACATGCACCAGAGGACACTCATCCATAAATACCACTCGGGACACTTTGCCGAAGAGTTCTTCTATGTGAGGGAAGCAGGAGAGTGGGGAGGATGAGAGCCAAGAAAGGCTTCTTGGAGAGAACGCCTGAATCTGATACACTAATGCCCCTGTCTCACCCCCTCAACACTTTCATTCCAACCGAATCCTAAGGATTTAACTTTGGACCCAAAGATAGATTCTGGCTTCTTATCTAAAAGTGGAGTGTTGAAAGGGCCAAGCAATGGAATTTACCAGAGAGCCATTGAATGTTCCTGTTCGTCTCTGTCCTCCTCCTGCACAGCCAAATCTCCTCCTTTAATGAAACCAGCCTCCTAGAACTGGGCTCCAGCGAGCCATGGCCAAATCAGAGCAGAGGTCCATCATATAGTCAGGCTTGGTCCTGGGCTTCTTTGAAGCCATATATACCTACTTTGCAACTGAGGCAGGGAGATTACCACAAGTTGAATACCAGCCTGGGCCACAAGGAAAACTGTCTCAGAAAACCAAAACCAAACAAACAAGAAAACACTATTTTTTCTGCACTGGCTGTGGTAACATATGCCTATTATCCTGGTACTTGGGAGACGGAGGCAGGAAAAGCTCAAGTTCAAAGCCAGCCTGGCTAGATAGCAAGTTCTAGACCCTGTCTCAAAAAGAAAAGATAAAAAGAAAAAAAAATGCTTATTTGGGCTTCTGCAGTTACACGGTGAGAAGAGAGACCAAGCTAGTGAAGAAACGGAATGACCTGACTCACCAGTTGTTAGTAGGGCTTGCTTTTCCTTAACCCCTTGGCTCCTTTAAGGATGTAATAGCTGTGGTACCTCACGCATGGCTCAACAAGCAAATTCTTATAGAGGTTCCTATCCCTGTTTAAAGGTATCTAATCCCCTTTCTGCTGAAAGCCCCTCTCATTAGCTCATCTGACCAAATTAAACACATACGTCGTTTAAAGAGGGAACTGAGGCCAAGCCTGCAAATATGGTGGAGTTGGTCCTAATTCAGATAGTTCTTTGCTTGGTTTTGATTTGTTTTTTGTTTTTTTCGAGACAGGGTTTCTCTGTGTAGCCCTGGCTGTCCTGGAACTTGTTTGAAGCTGGCCTCGAACTCAGAGATCTGCCTATCACTGCCCCCTGAGAGCTGGGTCAAAGGCTCGCAGATATTTCTTACTGAAGTGTTGTTGCGATATTGTTGCTATTGTTGTTACTAAACTGGTCTTTTCATCAAGGGCTCTGAGTATCACTCCCTGGTAAGCTTAGGGGGAAATATCTTGATTGATCCAAATGCTCCTCAAATCTTGGATTCTCAGTACCATCTCCTGATGTCTAGTACTGAGTAAACATTGCGTTTCAGAACTTGTCAGAACAGTAGCTAAGCACAGCCTGAGTCAGAATGTGTGTGTCGGGTGTCACTGGACAGCCTTACTCTTCTCAAAAATGCTTCCTTCCAAAGGAAAGGAAGGAGACTGTCCCTTCCCCACCTGAGTAAGCATAAACAGATATGGATTTCTCAGCCTTGACTCTTCCACAAATCCCCTGACCACATTCTAACCACTTTCTTCTTCCAGCTTTACCCATGTATTTTCTAAGTGCTTCCTTTGCTTGGAACATGGATAATAAAGCCTCCCCAGGTCCATTTCCCATGCCCCTCACTTTCTCCCATACACCTGTTCCTAAGTGGCTCAGATTTATGCTGATAGTCTCCCGTCTCTTCAGCTACAGCATCCGTTGACCCTCGTCCCACATGCCTCTCTAGCGATGCTTCTTCATTCCCCGAATTTACTTATTCATATCTGATGGGAATATCATTATCTACTTGGTCCTCCAGTCTTAATGACTAAGTCCTGACTGGAATTGCACTGCCGCCTTTGGATCAGGAAGCTTGAACTGTCGGTGTCCATCTGGAGACATGATTATTGGTTCCATTACAGCATCTTCTCCACTCTCCACCCACCTTCCAGCAATCCCCTCAGAGGTCTGCGCACATCCTAAGTGCTGCTGACTTGCCGGCGCTGTGCCGTATAAATAGGAAAGTTCTTGTCCTTGAGAAGTTTGCATAGACTCAGTCTGCATTTCTTCACTCGTTCACTATTAATATAAAGTGCAGGGAAAGGATTGGGGGAAATACAGCTTCACAGGCCGTGCATGGCAGTCAGAATAGAGTGTGTCCTTTTCCCGGGTGTCACAGACAGCAAGCTGCTAAGATGTGCTTCTACGGGCAGCCACGGTCCAACCCCCCCTTCCAGAGTTTTGCCTGTGTGTGTTGAGCGAACTGGTCACACACGCTCTTGCCTTCCTATGCTGGTCACATGTTTGGTCACATGTTTGGGTAGCGCATCACAAGTGACAAGGCCCTTTACATGTCGTCGTCTCTGATCTTGAAAAGGTTTCCTGTCACTGTGGTCTTCTCACGGACGTAAAGCGAGATGACTGGCTCGTTCTCTTCTTGCTTGTGTTTGTTTTTCAAGCTTATGTCTCCCGTAGACAAAGCCCCAGTGATTACTACAATTACTACCTGCCAGATCTTAGGTTGAGGGAAGAGTTTCCTGTTACAAAGTTTGGGAAGAAAGGTCACAGTGCACTCACTGCTCAGCCCTGGGGTTTGTAGGACTGCCCCTCCTCATCCTGGTCAGGCTCCCCCTTCCCTGGATTCAAACGAATAGGCTTTGTTAAACAAATATTTTAAGCATACTACATCAAACCAGTTCTTTGAGCTGATGCTAATTCATATGTGAATGCAGATTTCCTTGCCTATTTCTATCCAACACCCAAGCTGGCTTCATAGCTCTAAGTCATGATGGAGTCCCCATATAGCTCCATGCTTGGCATGTGTTCTTACCTCTTCCTGGAATGCTTTTTTTTCCCTCATCCACTGGGTTAACTCCCACTCATCTTCAAAATTTAGCTCCAGCAACACCTTTTATTTTAATCCTACACGCATGCCCCTACACATACTCTCTGCATCCTACACGCAT